TAAACAAGATAATGCCTTTACATTTTATTTAGAGTACTCTTGATACCCAAAGGATTTTTAAAACTACTCATCTTTGCTATTACGTGTCTTTTTTTGTGGTATTCACCGGAGCTCTGGAGAGCCCATTAAACATCTTCCATACAGAATCTGATTGTTTATCTGTTTGGGAAAAAATACAATGTACTATATTATACATGTCTACAAGTATATACGTATATACTTGGAATTAAATGATAAAGTCTACTGATTTATTTTTTTTTTTTTGAGACACTCCCACTCTGTCATCCAGGCTGGAGTGCAGTGGTGCGATCTTGGCTCACTGCAACCTCCACCTTCTGGGTTCAAGTGATTCTCATGCCTCAGCCTCCTGAGTAGCTGGAATTACCAGCATGCGCCACCATGCCTGGCTAATTTTTTTGTATTTTTAGTAGAGATGAGGTTTCACCATGTTGGCTAGGTTGGTCTTAAACTTTTGGCCTCAAGTGATCTGCCCGCCTCAACCTCCCAAAGTGCTGGGACTACAGGCAAAAGCCACTGCACCCGGCCCTAAGTCTACTGTTTTTTGTTTTTTTTTTTTTTTTGAGGCAGAGTCTCGCTCGGTCACCCAGGCTGGAGTGCAGTGGCACGATCTTGGCGCACTGCAACCTCTACCCACCAGGTTCAAGCAATTCTCCTGCCTCAGCCTCCTGAGTAGCTGGGATGACAGGTGTGTGCCACCATGGTTGGCTAATTTTTGTATTTTTAGTAGAGATGGGGTTTCACCACGTTGCCCAGGCTGGTTTAGAACTCCTGACCACGTGATCCACATGTCTTGGCCTCCCAAAGTAAGTCTAATGATTTTTAAGTGGGAATATTAGGACTCTCAAATGCTAAAAATCTTAATATTCTTTGTAGTAGAGATTCAAACAGTAATTCTAAACAGCTATCAAAAATCCTTAAATTCAGTTTTGACTACAGTTAATGAAGAACATACAGTCCTTTATCCTTTTGCTAAACTTCAAGAAAGCAGTAGTTAAGCCTGATACAAAAAGTTTACGACAGATATTTCATTTCCTACAGCTTTCCCAGATTATTTAGAAATGTTGAAAACAGACCAAATTGTGGTATTCACCGGAGCTCTGGAGAGCCCATTAAACATGATTTTGTAAACATGTCAAAGTTATTACATAATATAAATTTTGTTACTGTAGAGAAGGTAAATATTATGTCCCTGTTTTAAGTCAAATTTTAAACCAACTACACAGAAAGATTTTACTGAATGCCATCAATGAGCCGTCTGCTCATATCCAAGACATGGTAGAATTTTAAACTTGATTGAATCTACCAAAAGATGACCTAAACAACATTTAAATTCTAAATTTCTTTATTCCAAATTTTCCCACTGATAAACTATGATGATAGCTGGAAACTCTCTTACTTTATTTCACCCAGTTGGTAACAGCTCGTAGTTTTGACTTTTTTCCTTCCATCTCTTTAAAACGTAGTTAATGATCGATACCGATACCATCCCTATTCAAGTGTGACCTTGACAATCTCTACTATTTAAGAGATAGTATAGTGTGCTATATAAGGGATAGGAAAAGGAGTTGTAATTAGCATCTGATTTGTTCTTGCTGTCTCTGGAATTTTGCATTTTAAGACACAACTGATGTTCAAGACATCTAAACACATTATTATTATTTTTTTTGGTCAAAATAGTTATAATGAGAAAGCATATGGAAATGAACAATTTAAAATATGAAATGAAAATATAGTATTTTCAACTGTCTGAAAAGCGGCCCTTCCGTCACCTTTCCTAAGTGGTAAAGCTGGGATTCACATCCAAGGCTGATGGAAAGACCAAACTGGAGCTACCTTCTCACTCTGCCTCTTATTTTATCAGCTTTCGTTCTGCAGCAAGATCCTCAATCTCACTGGGCACAGTGGCTTACGCCTGTAATCCCAGCACTTTCAGAGGCCAAGGGAGGCAGACCACTTGAGGTCAGGAGTGTGACACCAGCCTGGCCAACATAGTGAAACCCCGTCTCTACTAAAATTACAAAAATTAGGCTGGGCACCTATAATTCCAGCACATTGGGAGGCCTAGGCAGATGGATCACTTGAGGCCAGGAGTTCGAGACCAGCCTGGTCAACATGGTGAAACCCCATCTCTACTAAAAAATACAAAAATTAGCTGGGCGTGGTAGTGCATGTCTATTGTCCCAGCTACTTGGGAGCTGAGATGGCGCCACTGCACTCCAGCGTGGGTGACAGACTGAGACTCTGTTTCCAAACAAAAATAAAAACAAAAACAAAAACCAAAAATTAGCCAGACATGGTGGTGCGCACCTTTAGTCCCAGCTACTGGTGAGGCTGAGACAGGAGAATTGCTTGAACCTGGGAGGTGGAGGTTGCAGCAAGCCGAGATTGCGCCACTGCACTCCAGCCTAGGTGACAGAGTGAGACTCAGTCACACACACACACACACACAAAATCATCAATCTCATAGAAAGCACCGATTTCCACACTGTCAGTTCTCTGTGCCTCAGTTTCCCCTTCTCTAAAAGAAATCTAAGTACCTACTTCACAAAGCTATTGTAAGAATTAAACAAGATAATGCCTTTACATTTTATTTAGAGTACTCTTGATACCCAAAGGATTTTTAAAACTACTCATCTTTGCTATTACGTGTCTTTTTTTTTTTGAGACAGAGTCTTGCTCTGTTGCCAAGGCTGGAGTCCAGTGGCATGATCTCAGCTCATTGCAACCTCTGCCTCTGAGGTTCAAGCAATTCTCCTGCCTCAGCCTCCTGAGTTGCTGGGATTACAGGTGCCTGCCACCAAGCCTGGCTAATTTTTTTTGTATTTTCAGTAGAGACGGGTTTTCACCATGTTGGCCAGGTTGGTCTTGACCTCCTGACCTCAGGTGATCCGCCCTCCTCGGCCTCCCGAAGTGCTGGGATTACAGGTATGAGCCACTGTGCCTGGCATACGTTTCTATCCTTAGTATCATGCATTTAAAAATAAGTCCACTGTCTATATATTTTCTCCTAACACTTTAAGAATTTAACTTTTCTTATATTTGTATCTTCTTACCCACTTAGCTACAAGGGAAATGGTTAAAGAAATCACGCAGTGGCCGGGTGCAGAGGCTCACAGCTGTAATCCCAGCACTTTGTGAGGCTGAGGCCGGTGGACTGTCTAAGCTCAGGAGTTCAAGACCAGCCTGAGCAACATGGTGAAACCCTGTGTTGACAAACAATATAAAAATCAGCCAAGTGCGGTGGTATGCACTTGTAGTCACAGCTACTTGGGAGGCTGACGTGGGAGGTTCACTTGAGCCTGTAAGGTTGAGGCTGCAGTGAGGCAAGATTGTGCCACTGCACTCTAGCCCGGGCAACACAGTGAGACCCTGTCTCCAAAAAAAAAAAAAAAGAAAAAGAAAGAAAGAAAGGAAAGAAAGAAAGAAAGAAAGAAAGAAAGAAAGAAAGAAAGAAAGAAAGAAAGAAAAGACAAGGAAAGAAATCATCTTTAAGAGTTTGTGAAAAAGCATACTTAATAACATAGAAAATGTCCAAAATGGTACTAACTGGTAAAACCAAGTTTTAAAATAGTATGTTTAGTATGATCATGTATTTTGCTGACCATATTTTCCAATCTCTTTAATTTATAATTAACTACAAACAAGGTACTTTAAATCATATTTGAAAATTAGATTAGGACAGGTGTGGTGGCTCATGCCTGTAATACCAGAGCTTTGGGAGGCTGAGACAGGAAGATCACTTGAGGAGTCTGAGACCAGCCTGGGCAACACAGAAAGACCCTGTCTCTACAAAAAAAAAATAAAAAATTAACCAGGTATGGTGGCGTGTACCTGTAATACCAGCTACTCAGGGGAAGCTGAGGTGGGAGGATCGCTTCAGTCCAGGAGTTCAAGACTACAGTGAGCTATGACTGTACTACTGCACTCCAGCCTGATCGGCAGAGTGAGAAGAATGGCAGGGCGGGTGCAGTTGCCCATGCCTGTAATCCCAGCACTTTGGGAGGTTGAGGCAGGCAGATCACTTGAGGTCAGGAACTCAAGACCAGCCTGGCCAACATGGCGAAACCTCACCTCTACTAAAAATATGAAAATTAGCTGGACATCGTGTCATGTGCCTGTGGTCCCAGCTACTTGGGAAGCTGAGGCATGAGAATCACTTGAACCTGGGAGGCGGAGGCCGCAGTGAGCCAAAATCGCGTCACTGCACTCCAGCCTGGGCGACAGAGCAAGACTCTGTCTCAAAAAAGATGAATGACATTTGGAATGAGCCTGATTCAAGGCCTGGCATTCAGTTAAGCATTTGTGAATGTCTATGTCTTCCCCACTGTGTTCAGCCTCTGCTTCCAGAAACTTTTTCTAAACCACCTATCCTACCCTCCTGTCTTTGAATCCTGTGGCACTAGGTTTAAAAAAATTTCCCTTCTTGCACTTATACTGCAACACAACATGGTAAAGTCAATCCTTGTTGGGCAGTAAGCATCAGTGCAGGCACACAACACCTACTGAACTGAGCTGAGCTCCTTAGGGCAGGAGCCAACATCCTCCTCTAGGTGGTTCCCAGCTTTTCATGCAGAGCTTGCGCATAGTAGCCCTCAATGAGGATGTGCTGAATTGCAGTCCTGAATGGAAGTGGTACTTAATCAACTGTGAGTAGGCTTTCACTAACATGGGCTCCAGCCTTCAAAATGACTAAGGTTAAAAAAAAAAAAAAGGTTTTGATCAGCAAAACGCTTGAGCATGTAGGAAATCTAACTTTCATGTTTATGGATATGTCTGCTTCTTTAGTGGTGATCCTCCATCTTGGTAGAATAGAATCTATGGTACTATTATTCCGAGAGGGAAAAATGAGATCCGAAATGAAGAAAGCAGTTCATTAATTTTAATTTACGTAAGAGGAAATCTAAAGTTATGCCTTTCATGGTGCTGTTTCTACATGTGCAGAGCCTCTGGCAGTGGAAAGGCAAAGCAGCTTGCTTGCTGTTGATGTTTTTTCCAGTGCCAATCCGGGTGTTTACAGCTAAGGCAGCTGCTCCCGGCAACATGCCGAGGCCTCTGGAGAAACTCTGCTATGCAGTGGAAAACTGGGAACAGAGCAAGAAACCCAAGAAAGAGTGAACCTGATTTAACTGGATTAAATC